GGGGGGGGGGGGGGGGGGGGGGGGGGGGGGGGGGGGGGAAGGGGGCCCTGTAACGGGTGATGGCGATATACAGGCAAAAAATGAAATAAAGCTAATGTTCTCCTGGGGGAGTTGGGGGTGGGGGGTGAGGGTGAGTCCCATCATGCAATCAAGCTACAAGAATTTAAGCACATATTATACAACAAGCACTCTACCATTCCTGGGAAATTGCTATCAGGCAATTTGGGAATTCCATCTCCCACCACCAAACCTTTGCCCTTCCCCTTCTCCATGCCTAGAATGCTCTCCCTCTTCTCCTCTGCATTATAGAATCCTAACCTTCAAAGCACAGTTTGGGTGCCACCTGATGGATCTCCCTCCTCTCTTTTCCCCCTAGTTATTACTGTTTTCTCCATCTTGACATGCTGCCTCTCCCACTGTGAACACATACTCCACACTGCTCCGCTCCTTCATAGACTGTAACCTCCTTAAGGGCAAGGATTCTTTTATATTTATATGCCCAATGCCCAGTCCAGTCAATGTCTGACACATAGCAGGTGCTTGAGAAGTATTTGCTGAAATGATTTGATTTGTGCCTTGAAAAGAGTAGGATCCAGGGATGAAGAGGCCAGGGAATGTAGATGAGGGATGGCCGTTCCCAGAGAAGCACTCTCCGGGGCAAACAGGAGACTTCTGACCAGGAGAGAACATGGGAACAAACCTTGGTCCCTCACTACCTAGACCAGATACCCTTTAAGACTGGCCAGTCCTCTTGGCTCTGATGTTCTGTTCAGCCAGCAAACTTTCCAGGATGAATTCATTTCCCCAGGTTACTCAGGACCAGAAAATGGGTGCTCACAAGAGGGATGGGCTGGCTCTTCCATATTCTGGTTACTGGGAAGGAAGAGCTCAAGAAGCACCATGGGGTTGTGAATAGAGAACTGGAGTCAGGAAGACTTGGGTTACACTTTGTAGCAGTATTCTGCTCTCTCCAAAGTACCTTAACTTAATAACACAGAGATCTCAAAACCCCATGGCCACACAGGTCAGCCTTGGCGGTCACTTGCTGAGAAGGCTATTGAGGGGAATTCTCATTTAGGGACAAGTTACACGTGATGGCCTCGGAGGTCCCTTCCAGCCTTGACAGCCCAGGATTCAGAGACGCCTCAATGAGTAGGATTGAGTAAGACGAGAAGGAAAATCTGGGGACATCTTAGCATCAACCTACCGTATTCTTCTCCCCTTAGGATTTCTGGGGCAATGTAATTTGGTGTCCCACAGAAAGTGCTCGTTGTATCACCTGGGCCCAATCCTTCCTGTGGGGACAAATCATTCCAGGTGTTACTGAACAAAACCTCAATGTCCTCCCCTCCCTTCACCCCAACACCCGCACACACCCACACACCCACACACACACACCCACACCATGGAATTCTAAGACTGTCAAATTCAGGGTACCCTCAACTACCCTCAACATTTATCTAGTACCAACTAAATTGCCAACTGATTATAATGTGGTTTGCTAATGCTGGATACCTAAAAGTCATTTAAAACACTTAGTTATTCTGCCTTAAGATTAGAAAGTAAATGTAAATGGTAGATGGAATAAAATAGGCTAGACAAACTCAGGAGGGAAATTTGACGTCACTGAGACTTGATGGGGGGGAGGGGGAACCCATTTGGACTGGAATGTGGGTATACCTTATTTTGAAAAAAAAAAAAAAAACAGGTAAGATAAAAATGGAGGGGGTTGTACATTCAGAAAGTCTTAATTCTTCACACTTGGACTGTGACAAAATCTAGGAACCAGAGAGAGAAAGCATGGTGGAGAGAGAGCACTGGCTAGAGATCAATGGAAGAAGAAAAAAGAGAAGTGATTTAGTCATGAATGTACTACAGACCACCTAGACAGAAAGAAGCTATAAGGTATTCAGGAAACACATCAATAGTCCAGCAAAGAGGGATCACTTAATAATGATAGGGGACTTAACTTATCAAGAACTGGAATGCTCTCTGTCTCCATGTTCAAGAACAAACAGCTAATTCTTAACTTGCATGAGGGCTATTTTCATTCTTCAAAAGGTGAAAGAACCAACAAGGGGATTCTCTGGATCCATGGTCACAAACAGAGAAGAAATGGTGGTTGGAGTAGAAGCACTGAGAAGCACAGCATTGCCTCCTCCCTGCTGAGTCTGTGAAAGAGGCAGGAAGGTCCACTCTGATGTGCAGCCTCCATTTTGGTGGAGAAAGTTACAGAGCATGTATAGGAAGAAGAATGGGCTGGGGCTGGTCAGGAAAACAAGCGCCAGTAAAAAGGGTTTTCAGAATTTTCTGAAAGGCTCTACCAATAGAAAAAGGGGAGGGCCAAAGAAGAGTTAGGTCTGCTGCTTGGGGTGGATGGGATGGTGATAAGTGACAGCACAGAGGCGGGTGGCTAAGCTGCTCAAGCTTTATTTTGCTCCTGATTTCTCTGCCAATGACCTTTACGCTGGAAAAGTCAGAACAAAAGTGACTAACAGGAAACAGATTCCCAGGATAGGTGAAAAGATGGTCAGCGAGTCCCTCACTGCCCATGGTAAATTTAATTCACCCAGCCCAGATCTTCCGGTGCTGAAAGAGCAGACAGCTGTGATCGCCAAGTCACTGTTGGTGATAATGTCAAAGATCATGGAAAAAACAATAGACGGAGCACAATATGGGGGAAAGGTGAATGCCCTGATTTTAAAAAAAAAAAAAAAAAAAAAAGGAAAGCCAACAGAACCCATCATCAGCCCAGGAAAATTAACATCAATTCCTGGGGAAGTTCTAGCATGTATCACTAACAAAAAAAAAAACAAAAAACGGTTAGTGTTAGGGCAGCTAGGTGGCACAGTGGATAGAGCACCGGCCCTGGAGTCAGGAGGACCTGAGTTCAAATCTGGCCTTAGACACTTTACACTTACTAGCTGTGTGACTCTGGGCAAGTCACGTAACCCCATTGCCTAGCCAAAAAAAAAAAAAAAAAAAAAGGTTGGTGAACACTTAGAAAGGGAAGCAGCAATTATGAAAAGTCAGCCTGGCTTTATCAAGAATGGGTCATGCCAATCTAACCACCCACTTCCTTGTTGGGCAGGATGATTAAACCAGTAGATAGGGAAATGCTATGCATGTGGCAAAACTTTTGATAAAGCTGCTTCTACTATTCTTTTGGAAAAGATGGAATGATATAGGCTAGATAATCATACAAATAGATATTCAGAACGAGTTGAATAACAGAATTAAAAGTAGTCAACTTTGAGGTCAGCGTGGCAAGAAGTCTCCAATGGAGTGCCCCAGGGATCTGGGTGTCGCTTGGTGCCGTTTCACATTCGGATAAAGGTAGAGATGGCATGCATCATCAAATTATGTCAAGCGACACAAAACCAAGAAGGACAGCTAACACCCTAGATGACAGGCAGGATCTACAAAGGTCATGACAGGTAAGAACATGGTAAGATGAAATTCAATAAGGATAGGTGAAATTGCACACCTGAGTTCAAGAAAGTGACTTCACAAGAACAACGTGGGGGAGGAACGATTGGCCATCAGATGTTTCCAGTCTTCTTATAGCTTACCTGACCCCCATCTTTTCTACAATCCAGTGACACTGGCTGCCTGCCTATTCCTCACACAAGACCCTCTCCTGACTGGGCATTTTCACTCTCCCTCCTCATCTCTGCCTACCTGCTTCCCTGGCTTCCTTCAAGTCCCATATAAAATCCCACCTTTTACAGGAAGTCTCTCCCCTTCCCACTTCATTCTAGTGCCTTCCCTCTGCTGCATTCATTTCACAGTTTTTTATATACTGTTTTCTTCATTAGATTGTGCATCCCATTGAAGGCAGGGACCGTTTTTTGCCATTCTCTGTATACTCAGCACTTAGCACAATGCCTGGAACACAAGAAGTCCTTTAAAAATGTCTCTTGATTGATTGATGCAGATGGTAAAGGGCTGACCCAATGTGGAATGGGCTGCCTTGGGAGGGTGTGGGATGTCCCCTCCCTGAAGGACTTCAACTAGTAGTTGGATGACAGGGAGGTTATATCTGGTCCTTCAGGGGTAGAGGTCTCATCACAAGAAAGAGATACAGACCCAGGCAGAGGCTAAACAGCAAGCACGAGCCGAAGCCCAGGCAAACACACGCACACGAAGGCTGATCGGTAGACAAACAAACGGAGACACACAAATCTATTCCCACGCTGGCAGATGAATCAGAGGCAGCAAACAGACACACAGAGGCAGAAGCCTGCCTAGGTAAACAGAGGCATGGATGTAAATGCACACAATGAAATGCAGAAGCAGGCACACGGGGCACAAGGAGGCGGCTAGCTGCCCACAATCTGACTAGGTCCCAGAGGCACACAGCAGACCCAGCCAGGCAGAAATCCACACGGACAAGGTTACTTACCTTGCACATGCCATAGTCTGTTAATTTGATGTGACCTTCAGCATCTAAGAGGACATTATCTAGTTTTAAGTCCCTGTAGATAATTCCCCGTTCATGGAGGAAATTTAGAGCAATACATATTTCAGCAGCATAAAACCTTGGTGGGAAAAAACAAACAAACCCGAAAAGATATCAACGTCTCGTAGCTCCTCAAGGTGACAAGACACAATTCACAATTCAAAGGGAGAGATTCATGACTTCTAAAAAGAGAGAGCCAGCTAAGAGTGAGCTGGGGGCAGGAAAGGAGGGTCCAATGTCATTTCTCTTACAGCACAGAGGATTTTTTAAAAAGTTTTCTCAAAATAACCAGGTGAGATTGATGGCTTTTTCCCTGCATTCAGGCCAGCCTTGCTAATCCATTCTCATTGGCATCAAAAATTCCAAGCTGACCTGTCAGATTCAGGTCACTAACCCAAATTGCAGTTTGAACCTGCCATTGGCAAAGTTAAGTCATGATAAATGAGGTACCAGAAACACCACTCAGCCCCTGCAGGGAGCTGGGCGCCAAGGAGATGGCCCGTAAGGTCCATTCAACAGAAATCCAGCCCAGCTCAGCAAATGGTGCTGGGCTCAGGACACAAAATGCACTCCAAGAATATCTGTTAAACTGAATTAATGACTTGTATAGAGCTAAAGACAATCCAACATAACTTTCTCATTTTATAGAGAAAGAACTGAGGTTGAGAGAGGAAATGACTTGAGCAAGGTGACGCGGATAGCATAGAGCAAAGCGGGGATTTAAACCCAGCTTCTCAGCCTGCAAATCCAGCAAATTTCTTCCTACCTTCGCTTAACTGTGACTTATTTATCACAGAGGCAGGGTAGGCTTGGGAGAGGGAATGTCTTGATGTTAGCAATGCCTGGGTTAAAATCCTGCCTCTGAAACTTAAAAGATGCAAATCTGGACAGATCTGGCTTCTGAGTCTCAGGCATCTCTTTGCTGGGATTCACCCACATGTCCCACACTAAGGAAATCATAGATTGTGTATTTTTAAAAAACAATCTTAGAAAATGACACCTAATAGAATCATTCATATCTCTCTCTCCTCCCCTTCTCCTCCCATCCCCAGCTCCCAAAGTTTTTGTTTTGTTTTGTTTCCCTCTCCTTACAGATGAAATAGTCTGGTCTAGTGTGGATGGTAAAGAGAGCTGGCCCGAAGCCATTCTCCGAGTTCCATTCTCTCTTAGGCCACACACTGGCTATGTGACCTTGGACAAGTCTCTTAATATCTCACTGCTCAAGGCAACCCCCTAAATGGCTCTAAATTGTAGAGAAGGGGCCAACTTGAATTGGCAAAGTGAGTTTCCCCATCCAGGAGGTCCCTATACCAAAGAAACCTATTCCTGTGCCTTCTTGTGAACAAGAATGACAGGTATAATGACAGGGAGGCAATTGGGGTTAAGTGACTTGCCCAGGGTCACACATCTAGTAAATGTCTGAGGACACATTTGAACTCAGGTCCTCTTGACTCAAGGGCCAGTGCTTTATCCACTACAGCACCACCTAACTACCTCACTGTTTAAGTTTAAAAAAATATGTGGGAATGCTAAAACAGGGGCATATTAGAGGGGTACCCATGAGGTCCCTCCTAGCTCAGACAGATCTAATCTTCACACACACACACACACACACACACACACACACACACACACACACAC